AACATAGTTCAAAAATGATTTTTGTCTACATGTTTTTGCCAATTGGTGTAATCTTCTTTTAGTCTCTGAAGAAATCATTATACCCTGAGTAATCCAATTCTCCTTACATTGGTTTTTCTTTTCTTTAATTAATTTCACAGGATAAACTTCATTCAGTGAAAGTGTAAAACTAGATAAAAAAGATTTGTAGTTGTCATTCACAGATTTGTCTAGAGCTAAAGACTTGATATTGTCACTTAATGAATTAATAAAAAGTGGTAATTTTTTAATAGGAAAAAAGCGAATTCTTTTGTATACACTTTCAGGAAAGTTTAAGGTTTTAGGCAATTGTAAAAATAATGCATTATGGTCAGACATGCCAAGATCAATATTTATGGTTGCGTTTTTATCATAGCTTACACTTGTGAGAATATTATCTATGCATGTTTTTGATGTTTTAAATACTCTAGTTGGCTGTCTAAAATTTATTTTCAGACCAAAATTACAAGACAAGTTCTCAAACATTTTTGTATCATTATCATTTTTTAAAATATCTATGTTGAAATCAGCTGCTACTATGATTTTCTTTGAGAAATCCTTTTTTTGTATTAGTTCCAGAAAAGATCTAAATTTACATAAAAATAGCTGTGTAACACTACTACCTGGTATTCTATATATGGAAACAACAATAATCTTACAATCTATTATTTCTATACAAGAGGATTCAAAACAGTATTCGTCATTAAATTCCTTGAGATCTTGCCTCACAATAAAATTGATTGTTTCATGCACTAGAATGCATGAACCACCAGCCGATTTTGTCCTAAAATACCCATCAGCTAAAGTAAAATTGGGTAATTTATTCAATATAGATTTGTTACTTTCTTTCAATTTGTGTTCATTTAAACAGATTATCTTAATTTGGTCAATATCCTTAATAATAGTGTACAATTCCTCAAATTTATTTATTACTTATTACTTATTTATTACAAATTTATTTATTTATTTATTATTTATTACCCTTAGCTATAACTTTGTCCACCGCTGATTGTCTCGCATTGACGAGGTTAGAGAAATCTTTTATCCTGGAAACTTTGATTTAATTAGCATTTCTGAATCCTGGCTTAAGCCGAGTATTCATTCAAATGAGGTGTCTCTCCCTGGATATGTGCTGCAGCGAAATGATAGGATTGGTAGATCGTCTAATCGTAGTGGTGGCGTTGCGGTGTATATCCAGGAGGATTTCAAGTTCAAAACTATCTTTTCTTCACCATCGGAGTACTCGGCTGGGCCAGAATTCCTATTAATTGAGATTAGTTTATCTGGAGCAGATGCACTGTTACTAGGAGTGTGCTACCGCCCACCAAGATCAGGGCATCTGCTCAATTTTGAAAATGCCTTGCTTAATGAAATGTTCAGATACAGTCATGTTTTGATCATGGGTGATTTCAACACTGAATTACTATCGTCGACTCATAACTTTGAACACAGACAGCTGACTACTATGTTTGAATCATGTAACCTAACTGTACTTCCACTCGATCCCACACATCATGTTGCCAATTCTGATACCCTCTTAGATCTAATCGTAGTGTCCAATCATCAAGATATCATTCACCATGGGCAGCTTTCAGTCCCTTCAATATCCAAATATGACCTCATTTTCTGTGTGTACTCAATCAAATCTCCTAAACCCAAAGCAAAGCTTATTAATTATCGGGATCTTAAAAATGTGAATGTGGCACAATTCATGTTAGACGTTCAACAAACTCCGTGGCACTTCATTCAAAATTTAAATTCCTTCGATGAAATGGTTCAGGAGCTAAATTCTTTAATATTAAATCTTTTTGACAAACATGCTCCCATCCTAACAAAGTGCGTGACAAAACAAAGACCTGTTCCATGGATGACCCCTGAAATCAAAAGTTTGATGGCTAAACGTGATAGCTTAGGTAGAAGAGCTAGGCACTCCAACAATATCAAACTAAAAAAAAAATATTGTAATCTTAATCTTCGTAATCGAGTTAAACAGCTTTTGCGAAATTCCAAACTCAGATACATTCATTCACTTTTTGAAAATCAAAAACAGCCATCGAGAGTTTTATGGCGTAAAGTTAAAAGTCTTGGGCTTGGGAAACAATTTGATTCACAACCAGTACCCATCCCTCTAAATGAGTTAAACGTTTACTTTTCTTCTAGCAGTCAAAATACCAATCAGCATAAAGTCAATAGTTACTTGAATGAATTAGTCAACTCTCCAACCCCACAACTGGGATATCCTGAGTTTAATTTCAAACCAGTTAATCAGTCTGATGTTTTGATGGTTATTCGCAGAATCCAAAGCAATGCTATTGGTTCTGATGGGATATCTATCCGCTTTATCAACGACATCCTCTACGCAATCCTTCCTACTATCGCGTACATTTTTAATGCATCTTTGAGGCAATGTTCTTTCCCTTCATTTTGGAAGTCTGCCATTGTCCGTCCCCTAAAAAAGATCTCAGCACCAACCCTGGTTGGGGATTTCAGGCCGATAAGAATTTTGCCCGCTCTTTCTAAAGGCCTAGAAAGGATCGTTCACTGTCAAATCACTGAATTCATCACTGAAAATAACATTCTATCTGACTATCAATCTGGTTTCAGATCAGCGCACAGTACAGAAACAGCACTCCTTCGAGTGACTGAAGACATTAGACTCGCTATGGAGTGTCGACAAGGAACGATTCTAACTCTGTTTGATTTTTCCAAAGCATTTGGCTGTGTTAATCATGACTTGCTGGTGCAGAAATTAAGGGCAATAGGGTTTTCCCATAATTCTCTTAAAAGGCTGAGATCTTATCTGTCAGATAGGCAGCAATGTGTGGAGGTTGGTGACACAAGATCAGACTGGATGACCGTTACATGCGGTGTGCCCCAAGGATCAATCCTTGGACCACTGCTCTTTGTACTGTACGTCAACGACATAAACTCGACCTTGACCAACTGTAAACACCACATGTACGCTGACGACTTACAAATATATGACCATTTTACTGCAAACAACGAAAATGACTGTCTCAGAAGGATCAATGAAGATGTCAATAGTTACTTGGACTGTGAATCATGGACTGAGACTAAATCATGAAAAGACAAAACCGATTGTAATCTGCCACCCTCGACTTCGCCCTTCAATTGACTTAGACTCAAACCCAATCACAGTGATTGGGCTTAGCACTTCCCTACTACGACAAAGTAAAGAATCTTGGCATATCTTTCAACTCTTCACTTACTTGGGACACAGCGACACAGCAGTCACGAACACACGAAAAAAGGCTTTTGCCTCCATACATTCACTGAAACGATTGCAGAACTTTTTGCAACAACACACAAAACTTCATTTAATCAAATCACTTCAGTTACTGCAACTCATTGATCAATGACATGACTGTGATTCAGGCGGGTATGCTCCAGCGGTCTCAGAATTACGCTTTGAGATTATTTGTCTATGGTCTGCGGCGTTAGGAGCATATCACGCCATACTACCCTGAGGCAAACATCTTGAAATTAAATTATCAAAGATCAATCAAAATTTTGTCATTGGTCTTTTTAATTTTGAAATCAGGCTCCCCGAAATATTTTACATCAGATTTTAAATTTGTGTCTCAAGGTAGTTCACGAATTTCTCGTTCTTCTTAGATCACATTGTGTATACCTCATCATGTGACCACCGCTTATGACAGGGCTTTTGTTGTTACCACTTGCCGTCTTTGGGACAGCCTACCCCTACACATCCCTTAATCCCTTGATAAACGCTCCCAGTTTGTGGCGGCACTAAAAAATCTCTACTTTGAGCAAATGGTCTCAGCTGGCGTGTCCTAGGGCTTCTGCGTCTTTGCGCGATTGCTGGTGCGTATGCGTGTGAGAGTGTGAACGTGTTTTCTTTTGTATATTCTATTTATAATAATTACTAATTTTTAAATTGAATTTTTGTTTAACATGTTCTTGATGTGTTAAATACCTATATATATTTATATTACATTAAGAAATTTCATTGTATTTTTATTTATTTATATTTAAGTTTGTCAGGTTAAGTGTAAGAGAGGGCCATGTGGCCCTAACTTTGCCTGGTAAAATAAAAAATTTTTCATTTAATTTAATATCTTTATATTTGTTACCTTTTTTTTGCTACAGCTCTCTGTAGGATTTCAATATGTTGCTATGCTCTAACTTTAGGTCATAAAAATAAGATAGGCCAAAGCCAAGTTTCTAGTTTTTATCGAGTTTCCCATGTAGGTTATTCTTATGGAGAAAATGAAAACTGTTGTAGTTTACTTGTTTATGGATATTATAAGTTGATCAAATGTGGCAAATTTATTTATTTCATCCTATACTATTGACGTTAGGTCAAAAAACACTGTTTACCTTCCCCGTAGCAGCAAACCACTAAAGCAAAGCACTCGTTAAATCTAATGTTATTTAAATTGAGAATAAATATGTCTTATTTATAGAAATATTTTTGTAAATATGTAATCAGACAAGTTTAAATTCGCTTAGTCTGCAGGTTTGCTTCGGCGGGGGTATTTTGCATAGCCAAGTAACTTTGAAATAGGTAAGTTAGGTTTTATGCTACAAGCCATCTACATGAAATTATTAGTTATTACTTTTTTGTATAAATAGGCTAATTTCAGTTTTCAAGGACTAAAGCTGCAAGTAAACAAATAACCCTTCATAACTACAATTTATAAAGATTTTTATAATCATACAAAAATTTTGCCTATTTAACTGGGGGAAAATAAAGAGGATCTTTGAGAAATTGGAGATGATGATGATAGGGGGGAGGAGTCCGAGAGGAAAACCAAGAAGAAGGTGAGGAGGGATGTGAGCAGTGGAGAGTGAGATAGTGGATGTTGGAGGAAGAGGGGCTGTGAACGGAGAGGCCTAGTTACATATATTCTTAAACAGCACAGTATTTAGATTTTTGATTAGACTCAAATGTTGTACAAATTTTACGAGATGTATACATTTTTGACAATTTTTTTTACCTTCAGGCAGATGCCGTTACGTTGAATGGAGTTTGCGACATCCTCCAGTGGAGCACTCAGGGCTCGGTTGACCTCGGACAAGAAGAACATGTCCCAGTCCACGGGCACTCCAGCCGCCTGCATCAGAAATCAACCTCAACAACTCTCTTGTATGATGTATGCATGCGAATACCAGTAAGTTACAGTACAGGGTAAAAATTATATTAGATATATTATTTTTAACTCCTACATCAAATCTACATTATCTTCTATATAAATAAAATTAGAGTTTTGTCTGTACTTTGCTCAGAATTATATACTTTTAGGTTATTTTTACGTTTTATACATTAAAGAAGCAGAAACGAGTCTTATCTCTATTTCTGTCTGTCTGTCTGTCTGTCTGTCTGTCTGTCTGTCTTTCCCTTTGTCTGTAACACTCAAGATGGCATTTTACGCAATCTTCTCCGTGAAGACCAGAGTACCTATCAAGATCCAAGTCATTTTAGCGAATTTCCCTATAGGGAAGTAGCTATTACCGTAGGTGGCACGGTAAGACATAGACCCGAGACCAATTTACTTTTTCATTTTGATGTCCCCAGAGGCCAAAAACACCATTCGTTCAAATTTTTATATATGTATATATATATATATATATATATATATATATAGACTTATATATATATACGTCCGTGAACGCGATAACTTGAGTAATTTTTGTCCGATTTTGATGAAATTTGGTTTAAAGGTGTAAAGCGGGATAAACTTGAATGAGTTCGCGAACCAGCATGATCGGACCATGGGAACGGGGCTTTACGGGGGGTTTTATGGGGTAAAAATTGGTTTTTCTCACTTTTGACCCTCAAAACACAAAATTTCCCAATTTCTCTTTAGACCTTTTTAAAGAGCTTAAAAAAACAATTAATTTAGTGTATAAAAGTATTTTTGTTCGGTTAATAGTAACGGAGAAAATTAAAAAAATTGTAAATTTAAAATTCCCATGTTATTCTTATGGAGAATATTGTCAAATGTTGTAGTTTGCTTGTTTATGGAAATATTTTGTATTTTGATCAAATTTATTTATTTTGTACTAAGCTATCAATATTTTACAAAAAAAAACACACTTTATTAGTTTCCTTGTAGCAGCAAACCTAGGTACTCGTTAAACCTAATGTTATTAAATAAAATATATTTAATTGAAAATCAATTAAGACAAATGGAAATTCGCTTAGTCGGCAGGTTTGCTGCGGCGGGGGTATTAATGTATTCACTGGATTGGCGAGAGTGTCTTTAGTGATTTAAATATAGCCTCACTACTTTGTAAATAAAATTACGGATGTTCAAAAATGCAGTTTTGTGCGATTTTTGTCAAATTTTCGTTCAATTTTTATCACATAATAATCGTCTATGAAATAACGAACAGCTGTTCGGATCAAGATTATTTTTTCTAGCTGTCAATGATATGTTTACAAATGTTGTTTACAAATACCGCAACCATTTCGAATCACGTTTTGAAAGCAAATCCCAACCAAGTGAGATTAAAAACGTTTTTCTTACATAACGGATTTAATTAATCGCAAGTGCAATAATATAGTCTAATAGTGTAACCGTAAATGAAATTAAATAAGTTCTTAGGTAGGTTCTTACGTAGGTACTGGTTCTTTTCCTTAGAACCGTTGGTAGCTGCTAGAATCATTTTTACGTAGGTACCAACACATCACTGTAGTTTACAAATTAGTTATCGTTGGTGTTGCACCTTATTTATTAGAGCCGTCCGTATTCAATTTAAGTGATGTCTTAACTCTGTATAAGTTTTGCTTTTTCTGTCTGGATTCCAAATATTAGCTTACCCGGTATGCTAAGAAAATGATAACCTATTTGAGTAAAACATTTGTTGGGCAAACCATCATGAATTGTTTACGCCTTTATATTGTTTATGTATCAATAGTTCGTGGCCTTTTTTGGATTGTTGTGTGTATGTCTGTTGGTAACGCATTAATGTCCTTATTTCTCAGTGTTTCACGGAATGGACAAGAGCACCTTTGATACTGAAAATGTCAACCGGAATAAAGTGTTAAATGGTGAGGTTGAGGTAGTACTTTAAATACGTTTAAGTTAACCGATGTGGAAAGTAACTTTCAATTATAGGCCTACTTTAGGGCTACGCTTCATGGATCTATAAAACATTTTTTAGTTTAATCATTGGACATATGGACCATAACGATCCGGGTGACATTTAATTGCGAAGCATTTATTTTGGCTTGAACTGTCAGATACTGTATTTGCGAAGGTTTATATATAATAGTTTTGCCAGCATATCTGCAAATATGCAAACTAACTGCTGTTCTTAATCTTAATATAAGAAGGTTTCAACTGACTACTATAAGATCCCCGTGCGTAGAACGGGCACACAGCTAGTGAAGACTAAAAATGTATTTAAAAAGTAATACTTTCACAACTGGTTCACATGATTCGACAGATATGACAAATCCCGTGGTACTGGCAAAGGAAATGTAAAAGTAAATTTTTCTATCAAATAAATTAATATTCTAGTATTATTATTAAGGGCTGGTGTATGCTGAATCTCATGCAGCCTGATGAGGTGCATTTACTAAAATTATTTTACGGCTATTGTAATTTTTCAAAGTCCCCTTGATACTCTTGAGTACCCTCTCAGCTTCATTACAAGCCACATTGTTTGAACCACACATAACAACGAGGATATCTTCAGGTCCCAAGTTTTCGCCATCAATATTATTAAAATTTAGAATGTCTTCAGCTAAACCACCTGGTCTAACAAAACCCACAGCTTCTAAAGATTTTGAGTAATTATTCACTTGAGCCGCTAGGTCACGACCATGACTGTCAGCACATATGAGCATCTTTTGTCATATTTTAATATCTTTAAATTTATTTCATACAGGTTTTTCTAACAGTTTTGGATATCTGCAGTTTGTAAGAAGTTGTTGGTATTGTTTGCATGTTATCAGGTGTAGGGAGATTTTGTTGTTTGTTGTTGCTTATGTCAGGTGGAGGAAAGCATTCCAGACAGCTAGATGTTATTACATTTTTTTCCACACTTTTGTTATTCTCCGTGTAGTCTTTTTCCAAAATTGAGATAACGCTCTCCAATGTTCTTATTGATATATAGCATTTTTTTAAAATTTCTTCCCCAAATATTACACATCTCCTGAATGTTTTATGTTGTTCCTGGTTTTGCTTGGTACATTTATCAGCATCCTCTTCAACTTGTAAAACAAATGATTCCTGGCTTCTTTTTCTTTTTTAGCAAATTTCCCATATAGGAATAAGCTATTACCATAGGTCTCATCCATGGTAAGACCTGGACCCGGGACCGATTTACTTTTTGTTTTGAGGTCCCCAGAGGATAAAAACACCACCCGTTCAAATTCATATATATATATATATATATATATATATGTGTGTGTGTGTGTGTGTCCGTTAGCACGATAGCTCGAACAAAACTTATCCGATTTTGATGAAATTTTGTATAAACGTGTAAACCTACATTTATTTGAACAAGTTGACCCAAAAACATAAAATTTAGCAATTTCTTTCCAAACTATTTTGTAGAGCTTAAAAAATAAAATAATTTAGTACATTGAAGCGTTAAAATGCGCCTAATGGTTACGGAAAAAATTCAAAAAAGTGCAAATTTAAAATTCCCATGTTATTCTTATGGAGAAAATTTAAACTGTTGTAGTGCTACAAGCCCAAAGAAGATATTGCAGTGCCATTTGACCCTGCATCAAGTTTATCATAACTAGTAGTACGCTTATTCTGCGCGTAACGGGATGAGTGAACATGAGCGCAATAATGAAGGAGTCCACCCACACCTAGCATACTTACCAGTGTCACTGGTGAACACAATAATGTTATTTGTATGGGCAAATCAACCAAATCTCAGTCAACAACAATCCTAACTTCTCGTCCATTAATTAACCAAAGTCATTGGTAATATACGTAATGGATTTCCAACAGTTATTGATAGGTGGTAAATCCATCGTTCCTGTACAAAACGTCTTTTGATTAAATAAAACCTATTTCCATATTTGTTATGAGGCCTATCATAAACAAAACTAAGCCAAACTGAACTAATCTAACTTAAATAAATTGCCAAAGCACAATGTAAGGAATCTCCAAAAAAATATCGTATTGCTTACAATGATGATTTATATCAACGATAGCGCTATTATATCATCTAAAAATGATTAAAAATCCAATAAATGTTCATCTAACTAATGAATCTAAATGCCATAAACGATTCCCACACTCCGCACTGCTTGAATTTACCACTTCCATAAGGACGGGTCCCGTCCAAGAAACGATCACTCTATTGCACCAAAACCTAATTAAGAACTCAAATCTATCTACAGAGTCAATAAATGAGTTAGTTTCACTCACTAGATTGGTACTAAATCAGAATTACTTCCGTTTCAACAACGACTATTATTCCCAGAAAGAAGGACTGGCAATGGGTTCCCCCCTCTCCAGTATTTTGGCAGAAATTTTTCTCAACAACCTGGAAAATAAACACTTGTTTTCTGATGCCAACCGTTACAGGGAAAAAATTCTGTTTTATTTCCGATATGTAGATGATACTATTGTTTTGTTCAACGGCAACAGTTGACAGTTGTCGTTACTCAACTCCTACTTATGTAATATTCACAACAACATAAAATTTACATTGGAGGAAGAAAGCCATAATCGTCTAAATTTTTTAGACCTCACCATAATAAAACATCAAAATAAGTTGGAGTTCAAAATATTCAGGAAACCAACATGCACCGACCAGACCATTAACTATGAATCCCATCATCCTTACTCACAAAAACTAGCTGTGTACAACAGTTTTGTCCACCGTTTGCTCACAATTCCGATGAATGAACAGGATTATAATGAAGAAATTAATACAATAAAATACATAGCTGTAGCAAACGCTTATCCAAGCATTATTATTGATAAACTCATCTTCAAACATAAAAATAAAATAGGAACTAAAAAAAAACAGAAAAACTACATCTCTGCAAAATATGGCACCTTCATGAGTAACAAATTTAAAAATCTTATGACAAAAAACAATATTACAGTTTCCTTCAGAACAGAGAACAAACTTGGCGCATTGTTAAAAGAGCGCAGTCCTTCATTGACGCAACCCTTAGACAGATCCGGCGTATACAAGATCAATTGTACCGATTGTACTAAATTTTACATCGGCCAGACGGCACACTCCTTTACTAAACGTTTCAAGGAACATCTCCCAAAAGCGTCAACAGTACACCAGACATCATCTTTTGCAGAACATTTAATTTCTCAAGGCTATAATTATACCAGCATTAGTAACAACATGAATATTTTACATTTCTCTAAAGACAGATTTAAATTAAACACCTTAGAAGATTTTGAGATTTATAAGGCAGTAACATCCGACCACGAAAATGTTTATCCATGTTTGCCTCCTGGATTGAATAATAATATAATAATAGGTTAAATACCTTGTATACGTCCTCAATCCAAGTCGTCTTATAAAATGACTATAGTTTCGGGGCCAACAGCCCCATTGTCAAATTTTCTGTCTTGTTAATTACCGAAACTATAGTCATTTTATAAGACGACTTGGATTGAGGACGTATACAAGGTATTTAACCTATTATTACACGAAAATGTGTTAAATGACCAACTAACGTTTTCATCCAATTTTATATATGACACTGCCATAAGGATACTGGAGAGTGGAAGTGTGTTAGACAGGACTAGAACCTAACCTGAGGTGATAAGATAACGGACGTACACCACTGCAATGACCACCCGCAGTCTGGACTTAAACTCCGTCGGGTTAGCGTCGTCTGTTGTCGTAACTGATCAGTAAATGTTTCGTGTCCGTAACGTGTTTTGTGTCGTGTGTAAATGTTTATTTATTTTTACTTGTTAAATATGACGCTCTTCATATGAAGAAAGAAGAAGTCCTTGTACCGCCTGATGATGACTCCACATAGGAGTCGAAACTAGTTGCAACTGCAATTAAATGGGTTGCTTAATAGCAGGTATTTAAACCTTTTTAACATTATTCTAACTGTCACAAAGGCTTCCCACACTCCGCAGCGCTCGCCTTGAACAATACAAGGCCAATATCAAACTACCTTACTACTCCATTTACAAAAAAAAAAAAATCAGTTTTTTTAATACTTCTTATATCTGAACTCAGAACATCTAAAATGTAACCATTTGTAACAGGAGCCTGTACATAAGATAGGCTAGTAGAATATTTAACACTTTTTTTTACAGATTCCACATACTTTTGTCATAATTCTCCTTAAAAAAAACAAAGAAAATGTGTATGCACTTGTCAATTAGTTTTAACTAGTATAAATGTTCAGCACGTTAAAATAAAAAAAACTGTTTTACTATTTTAAATAATATTAGTTATTATTATAAAGAGTTAAATTAACAATTTTCCAGAAAACAATGTACACAAACAGAGTAACAAACAGACGACACAACAAGTCCACCTGAGTTACTTAGATTTCCTTAGCAATTTAGTAATTTAGATCAGTGCTATCTGTCGGTGGCTCACATCAACTACAACAATTTTCTTAAAAAAACTGAAAAAACTAAAAGATATACGCCTAATAACAGTAATGCCACTAGAAGATGCTGATCAAGAAGTTATTTAAAAACCTGGCTAGGCCTACAAATTTAACATGGGGATGGAATGTCTAGTTGTATTATTAGTCAAAGCTAGTAGTCTACCATGACATTCTATGTCTATTAATATATGGAATGAATATATGTATTTATATACATTCTACGTCTATTAATATATGTTCTACGTCTATTAATATATATATACAGGGTGGAAAAAAGTCCCGGGACGGTAAAATATTTCAAAAAGTAATATAGATAGATAGATAGAGTTTTAAAACTTGGTACACAGTTACTGGGCATTAAGATAATTTTACAGTAGGCCTAACACATTTTTCAAAGATGGGCTATCAAATTAAAGGTCTTTGTTAAAAAATCATTGACTATTCCTATCTACATGGACTAGCTGTCGCCAATTTTTGTGTGAAAAAAGAACGTAGTTGTGTGAGCTAGTCACAGAATGCGCTAGTGTCAAAAATTCTATGTTTGTGTATTCGACAGAATTTAGTAATTTAGATCGGCGCAATCTTTAGGTGGTGGCTCACATCAACTACGACGATTATGATTAAAAATCTGGCTACAAAATTAACATGGAGATGGAATGTCTAGTTGTATTAATAGTCAGCCCCCAGAGGGGAGGTAATTGCCCGGTGTCGGAACCGGCACTTCAGGGAAGGCCACAGCTATGGACGACTGGGATTGCCAGCCCTTAGGGGAGTCCCCAGTGACATTCCTCCATCCAGGATGGTGGGGTAGCTGTCAGAGTGGCTCCTCCGTGCAGCACCTCTCACCTACCTGTGGCTGTGGTTCTATGGGCTTGCCCTGCCTATTGTGTACGACTAACATTCTGTGAGGCATACCCTCGGCTCTGGAAGTAGACTCTTCCTGGGAGGTGAAAGATGGGCAATTAATAAGCCCCCAAAGGGGAGGTAACTGCTTGGTGTTGGAATCGGCATTTCAAGTAGGCCATAGTCATGGACGACTGGGAAGGCCAGCCCCTTAGGGGGAGTACCCAGTGGCATTCCTCCATCCAGGATGGTGGGGTGTTTAGCTCTCGGAGAGATGGAAGTGCGCCATCATATCTCCCACCTACCTGTGACTTTGGTTCTATGGGTTTCGGCCCGCTTGCTGTGTGCGATCAACATTCTGTGTGGCAAATCCTCGACTTTAGAAGTAGCCTTTCCTGGAGGTGAAATCGGGTGAGTACCCGTGAGCTCACGGGGACACTGTAGGGGAACGTAACTTTCCGCAGTGTGAGGGCAACGGCTGGGCGCACTCCATCAGCCAATCCCTGTCCCTGAGCCCGGAAGGTATGGTTATCTAGAGTGTGGGGGGTTCTCCCTGGAACCTCAATTGAGCTAAGGGAACCTCATTTGAACGTATGCATAGGTCAATAAATATGCACATCAAATTAAATGTCTTTATTAGTAGAATATAATGCCACAAATTTCAGCTCAAAAGAACAACTACTAGGCTATAAAATGGCATCCGTTTAAATATTCAAAATGGCAGATTCAAGAGTTCTTTGAACGGCTGCCATTTTTGACTCGGTTGTCCGTTTTGAGTTCAAGTTTGCGGCATTGTATTCTACTACTACTTACTTGTAGTAAGGACCTTTAATTTGATGTACATATCAACCTATGCTTTAATTTAAAATTTACTTCTGACACCTAGTGGGCCGTCCCCCTGAAGAGGTAGTGTATCACTGAATCATTTGTTCAAATAGTGTTAATGCCCAGTAACTGTGTACCAAGTTTTAAAGCTCTATCTTTATTACTTTTTGAAATATTTAACCACCCCGGGACTTTTTTCCACCCTGTATGGTAGCCCTAATCACAATGATTTCAATATATATAATAATAATTATATATATAGGGACTACATACCTTGAACACTTCTTGTACAGAATATACAAGTTCTGGGCCCACACCATCTCCGGGTACTAGTGTACACTTTGTCCGTCCTTCAGTGCGAGATGTGGCAAGACTCTGAACAATACAATAATTGGTTGATTTTTTTAAATTGAAAAAAATTCTAAAATTATAAATAACCAGCTAAAGTACTCTTGAGCACACATGAACAAAAAAGGACTTTAACCTAAAAGTTTAATTTAAGTTGGAATGTCTCTTTGAACCGTTCAACGCTACTTTTTGTTATGAAATTGCGTTTAGTTACATAAATCAACTCAATTTTGTTTTGACTTCATTAGGCCGGCTTATTTTTAGTTAAATGTGGAATTGCAGCTTTAGGTAATTTAGTTTAAGAATATTTTACTAAAACATGAGCATATACTTCATATAAATAAAATCCTGATTAAGTTAGTTGGATAAATCAAGTTGTATCATTTAGCTGGGTGGATAAAGTGCTTGCCTAACAATCAAAACTTGCTGGTTAGGTCCAGGTTTGAAACCAGACCCAGCTGCAAACAATTATAGAACAGCTAATGGTCCTGGCTCAAGAAACAGCTGATTTTAGTCAGTTATAAAGTTACATTAAACTATCTCACTCCATTCTACACTCACTCTCCATTTATATTCAGTTTTATACATACAAACCATTATGACTTAAAGCATTCCCTACATAAACACTATACATCTTACTAATATTATAAATGTGAAAGTTTGTGTGTTTGTTTGTTTGTTTGAAGTTCAATCACGCATTAACTACTGGACAGATTGGGCTGAAATTTGGCATGATGATAGCTCACATTCCCGATTAACATATACGCATATTCTTATCTCAAAAATCCTTTCGGGCTCCGCCCCAGTGGCTCTGTAGTTCCCCATGTTAACCTTATGAGTATTCATATTAAAGGGAATTAAAGAATTTAGTCAGCTGTTTCAATTAACAAAATTGGTTCTATGATATGGAAAAGCATTAAAAAGTTATAACATTTACCAACAGGGTGCAGCACTATATTTTTGCACTATTATTAAAATAGCTAATTTGAACTAAGCAGCAATAAAAACTGTGATACGCAATGAAAACTAACTGTCAAAGTAGGATTGTTTACAGTTATACCTATGTTTTTAATTTCATGAATGGTTTGTGATATTTTGCAAAATTTGAGAATTTATTTTTCTCTATTACGTGAAGTGGTAGAACATTATGGCTATGGTAGATGTGTCATGATATAGAATACTGTAAATTTAAAGAAGCAAATTTGATCAAACTGTGTCCTCCCTCATTGCAAACACAAAGCACGAGCATAACTTCAATAAGCATTTTGTACTTATATGCCAACCCCGTACGAAGGACGGGTACTCTGCTAGTAGTGTTTATATAGTTAATGCTTAAAGTATAAAATGTGCATTGATTTGCCGCCAATGAGGTGAGGATTGCAGTTACAGTTCCGTAGAGAACCTGTGTTGTATTATTAGATGAAATGTTAGCTTGATATATAATAGTATTTGATACTTTTATACTTATACTCTTAACTGAAATGAAATGGCTACCGTTTTCACTTGAGAGTGATATTGATTTAAGTATTAAATACTAGGTGCATGCTTATTCTTCCAAAGTGTGGACAAAACGAAGCTAGTGTCCGCGAGAGTAAAGAAGTCCCTTGAGCCAGAGCAATACGAAGCTATGTTTGGAGGGTATCGCGCACTATTTGTAGGCGCTATGCATCTGGGCGCCTCGCCTCAATGTCTGTCTGTAAACAACTGTTGTAAACATAATTACTCATATCTTTGTTTTGGTAAGTGGATTATCATCATGTGGTCACGTCATTTGATTCATTGCAGTCTTGTGTGTTCGCGTAGTGAGTTATTTTGTTTTGGACAGTCCTTGTAGCTATGGATTTAAGAAAACGTGGTGCTACTATACATAGTGGAGAGAGGGATTTAATTAGACGGGTGATCGAGTGTTGTGACAACGAATGTAAAGACAAAAATTTATTAGAACCCATAGAAAAGGCAACAGAACGTGCTGCAAACTTTTGTAAAGTTCCAGAAAAAACTATTAAACGAATTAGAAAAGCCGGCAAACAAACTCCGGATGAAAAATTCTGTACACCCGGGGTAAAACGCAAGAAGGCTGACTACCATAAAGTACAAACAGATAGCTTTGATAAGCGTGTAATTGTAGATGTAATACGCGATTTTTACAAGAACAAAAAAATTGTCCCTACATGTAAAAAACTATTACCTGTCTGTTTTGAGAGAAAGAATTAATTTTAAATGGAGCGAATGGGCACTTCGGCGTCTCTATTGGGTCAAACGAAGGGTTTTTGCTTGTTTTCGTGTTTTCTTGATTCTTGATTTTGCTTAGGTTTATGGTAATAGGATTAATAACTTTAATAATAAGTCCAAACTATATTTTAAAAGCTCATTTTATTTATTTAATATAGATTCATTTATATATGTCTTATATCAACAATTAAGACCAATAAAACTGTAAAACGATTATTTAAAAATACTTTTTTGTGTTACAGAGCCTAGCCTACTGAAATTGGAGTTTATTGCCTTTCTTTATTTTTAATGTTAAAAACAACATTGCTATAACTTTTAACCATAGTGATAAGTTACTTGTTCTGTGAATAACACTTTTCAATGTCAAGAAATCATCCTTTATTGTCATTATGCATAGGGCAAATTGTGCCTCAACCTAGTTGGTGCAGAAAACAGTATTCAGCGACTTATCCTGAAATCGGCTTTTAGTTTAAACATGTTGAAAATTGTAAAGTAAAAATAACATGTAGGCCTACTTGGCTATGTAACAAGTTGGCTATAGTAGGCTTGTTCTTGCAAGGACTAAACAGATATATTCCTAATAATTGAACTTGGAACTTGGTATTCGTCTTAAACCATAGCATAGCCTAGGAATAATCCTATACACAAGCTGTTAGCAGGAGCAAACTATGCAATTTTTTTAAATGTAAGTTTCATGTTATATGGAAATTTTTCGTTACAATTATCATGTAGTCTAGGCATATCTTAACAGCTAACAGCTGTTGTTTTGTTAATTTAGTAAACATTTGAAAAATATTCGTAATCTAACCAAGGAAGGGCTTGTGATGATGAACCACAATCAACAGCTGAAGCAAAGGTTGATAGACCAGCTTTCTCATTATTTTAAGGTTTAGTGTTGGTGTCCATTAAAACCCAAGTTGAAACACTATCGATATAATAAACAGTGTTGGGAAGTAGCGCGCTACAAGTAGCGACGCTACAGTAGCGCGCTACTTTTTTTGTAGCGTTAGCTGTAGCTACGCTACTTTTAAGATTTTGTAGCTTTAGCTGTAGCTAGCTACATTTTTAAAGTAGTTGTAGCGGAATTTTAGCTACTTTTCTCGCTACATTAACATTGATTGAGATAGAGATTTTTAACACAACCTTACGTGAAACAACCTTTTTCAAACTGAGATTTTCAAGAAAATTAGGCCTACATTCTTGGCTTCATACAGCTGGTCACAGTCGTTACATTACCTATTACAACGTTGCGTGGACATGGAGGCCATTATCTGAGTGTTATCCACATTTTTGGCTCTCATTTCCTTCATTTGCTACTCTATGATTACTGTCAGATAAAATAAAATCGCTAGATGCAGACGACGTTCAAACGTTACCGGTGACAAGAGAAGCTATTGAATGCTTGCAAGTGATTGACAGGGAAATTAGTTTCTGATTTAATTTAGTTTCTTTATTGTATCAATTTAGTTTAAACTTGGGTTTGAAACCAACACTAATCCTTAAAATAATGAGAAAGCTGGTCTATCAACCTTTGCTTCAGCTATTGATTGTGGTTCATCATCACAAGCCCTTCCTTGGTTAGATTACAAAGATTTTTCAAAGGTTAACTAAATGAACGAAGAGGAAATTTCCTGATGAGATTTAAGATTTGCCTAGAATACATAATAATTGTAACGAAAAAATCTCCATATAACCTGAAACTTGCATTGAAAAAATAGCATACATACAGTAGTTTACTCCTGCTAACAGCTCTTGTCAAGGACTATTCCTAGGCTATGCTATTGGATTAATACAAATACCAAGTTCAATTAATAGGAATATATCTGTTTAGTCCTTGTAAGAACAAGCCTACTATAGCCAACTTGTTACAAAGTCAAGTACGCCTAAATGTTATTTTTACTTAACAATTATCAACATGTTTAAATTAAAAGCCGATTTCAGGATAAGTTGCTGAATACTGTTTTCTGCACCAACTTTTGTTGAAGCACAATTTGACTTATGCATAATGACAAAGGACGATTTCTTGACATTGAAAAGTGTTATTCATAGAACAAGTAACATATTACTATGGTTAAAAGTTATAGAAATGTCGTTTTTGACATTAAAAATAACAAAAGGCAATAAACTCCAATTTCAGTAGGCTAGGCTCTGTAACACAAAAAAAGTATTTTTAAATAATCGTTTTACAGCTTTATTGTTTTTAATAGTTGATAAAAGACATCCTATAAATGAATGTAGGCCTATATTAAAGAAATAAAATGGGCTTTTAAAATATAGTGTGGTTGTATGTCCTTTGAACTTAATGAAATTTACATATAAGATGCTTAAAAATAATACAATATTTAAAAAAAAGTGTTTAAATGTTAAAGAAAAAAACACCCAACTAACTTATTTTGGTTCTGTTGTTGTAATGTTAGGTTTATATAGTTGCAATTAATTTTACATTTACCTAATGTGCGTGGAAAACGTCTTTGGAAAAGTAGCTAAAATTGTAGCTATAGCTACGTTTCATTGTAGCTGTAGTTGTAGCTAGCTACTTTCTCGGAACTGCAGCTGTAGCTGTAGCTAAGCTACTTTTTTTGGAAATGTAGCAGTAGTTGTAGCTAGGTAGCTACATTTTTAAAGTAGCTTCCCCAACACTGATAATAAAGAAACAAAATTGATTACTAATTTCCCTGCCAACCACTTGCAAGCATTCAATAGCTTCTCTTGTCACCGGTAACGTTTAAACATCTTCTGCATCTAGCGATTTTATTTTATCTGACAGGTAATCATAGAGTAGGTAGTAAATTGGAAATGAGAGCAAAAATTGTGGATTGTATAACACTCATTTAATGGCCTCCATGTCCACACAACGTTGTAATAGGGAATGAAACGGCTGCAACCAGCTGTATGAAGCCAAGAATGTAGGCCTAATTTCTTTGAAAATCTCAGTTTGAAAGAGGTTGTTTCACGTAAGGTTGAGGTTATGATAAAAATCACTATCTCAAACAATGTTAATGTAGCGAGAAAAGTAGCTAAAATTCTGCTACAACTACTTTAAAAATGTAGCTAGCTACAGCTAAAGCTACAAAATCTTAAAAGTAGCGTAGCTACAGCTAACGCTACAAAAAAAGTAGCGTGCTACTGTAGCGTCGCTACTTGTAGCGCGCTACTTCCCAACACTGTGTAGCCTACCGGTAATATGCATTCACCATAAGTATATTCATGGATCAAATAATTATTTGGGATTAATGCTTTCAAACTCGGATTTAATAAAGATTTAATTGTATTGTATTTTATTGGTATTTACATTTAACTAAACAAAAATTATAAAGTAGAAAGGTTATTAATTTGCCTTAGTAACACTAGAAAACGGGTTTCCTTCGATTGTATGACTATGCAACAAAATATTATGACGTAGATTTATAAAAAATATACAGATATTAAATACAACAATTAAGCCTTAAAACTAGCAGGGAGCAGCATCAAGACGGCTCTACAGTAATTGTTGCGCGAAACGTTCGAGCGTAACGCCTTCAAACTACGAATAGGCCGGAGCTCAGGGGACTTCTTTACTCTCGCGGACAGTAGTGAATAAGGCTGAGCTGGTTAGTAAGGCGACCAGACTACACCATAGTACACTAGATTGGCACACAAAGGACTTCTGTGAATCCTTTGAATGTTCTGAATCCTCATACTAAAAGGAAGAAAAAAGTTTATATTTATGTCTGAAAATGAATATTTACCCAGATATCCGCCATATTGTATTTTAAACAAAACCATTTATCTGTGAAATTTTTCATTCGATGATTATAAGCATGTTAACATACACAAAACCTATTATGGAAAAATAATAAAGTTAGTCCGATTGTAAATTTCAAAATGGTGGCCGTTTGAGTTTTATATGTAGCTAGCCTAACTTAAATAACTCAAAAACGTCTAATAATATGAAAAAATGACAAGAATACTTTTTTTTAGCATTTTTAATCCCCTATCAAACAATACCATCAAAAAGATCGGACGACATATAATTGAAATAGGCCTACCAACATTTTTGGAGTAAAAATGAGGCAAAGTTAGTAAATTAGGCAAGGTGAACTGTAGGCCTACTGATCAATTTTAGTGGCAGTGACCAGGATCCGAACCCATGACATTGCTGCCTTGGGACAGATGTCCGTGACGCTACCAACTGAGCCACCGACTCCCCTAAACATGTAATTAACTACATGTAATTAGTCAACCGAGTCCATCCTATATAATCTCCATAATGTGACGAAATTACTTTTATAAAAACATTGTTGACTACAGAATCACTTGAAATGTTTCTATAGTCAACTATGTCATTATATTTAATCAACGATGTTATTCTTCTCATCAACCATGTTACTCTCCTCACTTAACCTGAACTTGTGACGGGTGTAGCAGACTAGCACTATGCAGCACAGTATGAGTATGAGTATTTTTGTTTTGTGTTCTAGTTGTAGTGTAGTAAAATGACAACACTAGGCCTATTGCTGATGACAGCATCAGAGTGAGTTAAGTACCGGTAGTAAAGTACAAAAGTTTTTACTTCCAGTTCTTTGTCGTGTGGTTGAAAAGAGTCAGCTGTTTAAGCTTAGTTAACCCACAGTTCATTCCACTTGTAAATGTCATCCATCTTAGGCTAAAACCTTGTTTATTGTACTGTTGTATATTTTTACAGCAATAGCTTGAGAAATATTCATCAGCAGTGAGAAATAATGGTATATTTGGATTCAGGAGGTAAAAACCTATAAATTAAGATATCAAAATTAAAAATTGGTTTGGAGGCACCTATACTAAATAACATAAATACCAAAAGTGTTAAGATGGGAACCAAATTGTTTTTAAACTAAAAATGAGAATAATATACTAGATTATAAAAGAAATAGCAAACAGGCAGTACTCCGGGATTGGCTGCTTGGGTACATTTCCATATCTGTTGGCACAAACAACCGAATTAAAATATCGATCGATATATCGTTTGGTTAGTTAAGTTTAAGGTTAATCTAACCAAACGATATATCGAATTAAACAATTGAATAATCAATATTACTCATTCAGTTGTTTGTGCCAACAGATATGGAAGTGTACCCGGCTGCTTTACCATCCTTTCTACGGCGTTGGAGAGTTCTTGGACTGGAGAGCCCTGATTCTTTAAAGACACTCTCAAAAGAAGTTGATGTAAATAATTGACACAATTTTCAATCTTAGCGATTTGTAAATAAAGATCTGTTTCTCTCTGTCAGTTTAATATTTTATTTAAAGTCTGGTAGGCCTAACTTACATTTTAGCGATTTCTTCAATTCCAAATTAGAAGATTAGGCCTATCAATAAGGCTCAATATTAGTCAATTAAAAAACTGAGTTAATTGGAGTTTTGAGAAATACTTATGTAAAATAAAGTGGTGTGTAACTTATGCATAAAGTTTGTGCTTGGCCTAGGCTATGTTTTGTACATTATCAACAAGACCGTAGTGACAACACATAGGCTAGACATTTATAAATTAAAATTAAAATAATTAATTGTGTACTCACTGAAAATTCAGTAGAAGACGAATGAATTCCTCTGAAGGACAAGGAAAGAATTCCGTTTTGGGTGCACTACAACAAAAGACATAAGATTATGTACCTATCATATGATTACTTAAGGCAACAACAAACATTTGTTGTAAACAGTGTTACTTACTTTTGATAGTAAAGAAGAAACTTGTCTACTTAGGGCCATAACTAATCTAAAGTAATATTTGATTCGCTAAAGTAAAACTATTCTTAAAAATAAATTGGTTAATTAAGGCCACAAATTGTGGCAAGCAAAGCGTTTCGAAAGGTGGTCAGAAAATTAAGAAAAGAAAGAATAGGGCAATGGGAAAAAGAGAAGACGAATAAGACGATAGCCAAGCAGAGCAGACGACTCTAGGTAAAAAACCCCTCGGAAGTCAGCTGAGTTAGAGAAAACTTTTAAGCCACTACATTCGGGCTTAAGTATTTTATCGTTGAGTGAACGATTATTTTATATAGTTTTATGTTTTATATTTTATTTGCTACTAGCTGTGTACCCGTTCTACGCACGGGGATCTTATAGTAATCAGTTGAAACCTTCTTATATAAAGAACAGCAGTCGGTTTGCATATGTTCAGATATGCTGGCCAAACTATTTATTATACATAACTTCATTTTATGTCGTTTGTTGTTGTTCCGGATCGGTATGACAATCAATAAAAGGCTAAATTACCTGTGTCCGCTGGTCGATCCTAATGATCCTATTACAGGAGATGGATTTCGGCGAAATTAAATCGCCATCATCAGTCCTAAAGGTCTTGAGCTTCCCCATTAGGCGCGTCTTGGAGTTTTTGAAACACATACACGAACTGTACACTCTCGACTGAAAACGCTCATTTAAAAAATGTGTAAGTTTCCCAGCAATATACAACACTGATTCAAGGTCTATTTCCCGGTTATCAAAACTCAAGAACAATTTTATACACAAAGAATCTATTTTCATTTACTGTTACCCTACATATTATTGCACTTGTGATTAATTATCCGTTATGTAAGGAAAAAAGTTTTTAATCTTAATTGGTTTGGATTTGCTTTCAAAACGTGATCGGAAATGGTTGCGGTATTTGTAAACAACATTCAATGTAAACGTATCAGTGACAGCTAGAAGAAATAATATTTATTTGAACAGCCGTTCGTTATTTCATAGAAGAATATGTGCTAAACATTGGGAGAAAACTTGACAAAAAATCGCACAAAATTGGGTTTTTAAACGTCCGTTATTTTATTTACAAAGTAGTGACGCCATATTTTAATAGCTAAAGACAATCTCGCCAATTCAGTGAATACATTAAAATGATTTGGAACTTGATAGGTACTCTCGTTTTTCAGGAGAAGGCCGCGTAAAATGGCTCTTGGGTCGTAACAGACATGAAGACAGACAGAAATTTAGATGAGACTTGTTTCGGTTTCTCTAATGTATAAAACGTAAAAATAACCTAAAAGTTTATGATTCTGAGCAATGTACAGACAAAACTCTAATTTTATTTATATAGATTAGCATCGACTAATGTATTAACATTAATATTAGTACTGGTGACAAGATTAGTGATTCTTGTGACCTTGAAATGCGACAAGTTTCAATCTTCACGGGATCATCTTCAGGCGGACGTGTCCTCATCTTTATTTTCATATCATTCTTGCGAGCACGTCGATTTCGAAGATAATCCTGTGAGGATCGAAACGGGTTGTCTTTCAAGTTGACAACTCACAAGAATCACTTGACAGCTATAGTTCGGCCGCTTAGAAAGCGACCTTCTCCAGCATTGGTTTAGCATTAGCGCGCAGGTCGTTTTCTAAGCGGAACTATAGCAGGTGATTTCACCACACGTATTGATCAGTGATATATGAGGCTTAACTCAAACAAAATTAAATTAATATTAGCATTAGCAATAATTGAGATGGGGACTATGAGCACGTATTTGAACCCAAATATGAGTGTGAGATGATATTTGTTACTCACTGCGATCAGCTGTTTCATCAGGCAGGATCAATAAAAGCGCAATGATCATCAGGGACAGCTGGATCATAGATAACATGGGCCCTTTCACACGAGGTGTCCGCCACCGGTTACCGGCCGGGTTTAATTGCAGTGGACGGTACAGGCAACTGACAAGCCACTCCACTACAGCCACTGTACAATGGTAGTGGTGAAAATGCTGTCGAATAATGAACATCTCCTTCTTCTCGCTTTGATTAAGAAAAGAAGGTGAATACACAATATGGTACTATCCCAAATTGCCGGGTACTTTTCAATTTCGCAAATTAGATCTTCAGTATTCACTATGTCTTCTTCTTTTCTTTTTATTTTTAGCAACGTCCTCTTTATTTTTCTTCTGATCACTAATTTTCATGAATAAACAATTCAACACAAAACACTCAAAACTACCACAGTGCGTTTGTCTCTGCACGTCCATTTTCAAACTTCAAATACATTAAATACTTAACTGTTGTTTTCAAAGTATTTCATGTATTTGAAGTTTGAAAATGGACTTATGTCCGAAACATGTAACTTCTTTTAAAAATATAATATCCAGCGTTCTCGGTTGTACTTATTTACTACAATAATTTAATATATCAGCCGCAGCCCTATTACGTGAACACCAAAATTAAAAAAAATATATAGAACATACACATATATAAAATTTTGAACGAATGGTGTTTTTGGCCTCTGGGGACATCAAAATGAAAAAGTAAATCGGTCCCGGGCCCAAGTCTTACCATGAGACCTACGGTAATAGCTACTTCCCTATAGGGAAATTCGCAAAACCCCGCTTACTTGACAGTGGGTACCTTAAAAGATTCATAAAGCCCTAAGAAAAATAACCCGCTCTGATACAAGTTTACCACCTAAATATAACAAACCTTCTGGCCAGTGGCCACAGTATGCATTCCGTATATTAAAAACCTTTCAGAGAAAATACGGCTCGTGAATAGAAAGCAAAAAGGTATTAGGACGGTCTTTACCTAAAAAAACACACGATAAGAAGACAGGTATCTAAAGTGAAACCTCCTAACTGTGGTAACGACAAAAAAACGTAGTGTAGAAGGTCTCGTGTGCTCATGTAACCGTAACTATGTAGGTCAAACATGAAGACAGGATCTTATACGTGTTCATGAACATATGAAGAAAGTTGATACACGTGTAACCTCGGTTCAAAAATATCTGAACACGATCATGACACCGGGCATAAAGTGGGAAGAAAGCTGTGTATTATACAAGGAGCTTAATTGGAAGAAAATGAACATTATTGAGGCCAGTGGCGGTTCCAAGGGGGGGGGCTACAGGGGCTAAAGCCCCCCCCTTGGACCCTGGAAAAATGAATTTAAACGTACGTTTCTTCCTTAAAACACGCAATGTCATAAAACAGACATCGATGAAGTTTTTATTAAACTTACTAAGCGATGGCAGGAGTAGTATTAAGTTGCACATAGATCAACTTTGTGGACAATAGCACAAATAATAAAACAATATTACGCTATGGAAAGTTGTACGCAGCATGCAATTTTTACAGCAGTCAGCTGTTGACACGCTAGGGCAAAGGCGAGCGCCAAGTGAGGACGGTGAAACAGCTGATTTCCTGATGTTCCACAGTTAGTTGTCAAATTGTCTGCTAGCCACTAACTTTACACAGACATCAATCAGCAATCAAAGTAGCACCAGTAGCTTATTACCATTGACTATAAACACTAGTGTTAAAGTTTATATCGTCAATACTATTACTGAAATCGATACTATACATATTGTGAGAGATCTATGAATTGGAGAAAAACGTAAGGTTAAAAAACGTGTATACTTGCTTGCATGACATATAACGGTGAAATGGAAGGTTTTATGACAATTGGGCACAGTTCTAGACGTTAGAAATGGCATTATAAAGTCACCAAACGGCTTTTAGGAGATATGGCTTCGTATTCTACAGTAGGCCTATGTTTTTAAATTCATGAATGCAAGTTCAACATAGTTAGATTTTTTAAATGTCTACTAAACAGTCTATACAGTTGGACACAGATATAGACATTAATAATGGCTTTAGAAAGTCTGTAAACAGCTTGTTTTTGATATTTATGAATGCAATCGTCATAGTTAGTTTAAAAAATGTCTACTCTTATTCATGACAAATAAACGGGTAAATTGGAGGTTTTGCACACAGTTCTAGACGTTAAAAATGTCTGTAGAGTGTAGACAGTCACCCAATGGCTTTTAGGAGGATATGACCGTAGTCTACAGTGTGTTTTGAAATTCATGAATGCAATCGTCATAGTTTATTTTTTTTTATGTCTGTTTGCTCATGACAAACAACAGGTGAAATGGGAGTTTATGGACAATTGGGCACGGTTTTATGTGTAAAAAATGGCTTTAGAAAGTCACCAAACGGCTTTGAAAATTCCAAATATTCCCGGACCCCCCTGCTTTATTGGTGGGTGCTCCACACCCCCCAAGCCCCCCGGTAGCCCCCCCCCTTGACAAGGTCCTAGAACCGCCACTGATTGAGGCTTTGTTTATTTCTTCAGATAAAGTTTCGTTAGCCAACGCATCCATTGACATCAGCCCTGTTTACAATACGTAGAGAAATAAATTAAAGGATGAATAGAAAAATCAAAACAAACTGATGATCAAGATAACAGAGCCTCCCCTCTCCCATCACCGGGGTTGTCAGTCGTGGTTAGGTGCTCTGCTTCTGCTCACAACGTAAACGTGAAAAATAACCTTGAAAACACCGCACGTTGGTATTGGTGCGGCGAAACGTCAGGCTAATTTTAAAGCTGAAATCTTTAAGCTCATTTTGTATTCTCAAAACATTAGTATGTTACAATACCTATTGAGTTGCAGTTGAAAGTACAGTGTATTGGATATTGGATGGTTTTAATATAGAGTACCTGGGGACCGAGCCATATGAGCCATGGCTCGGAATAGTTAATTATTTCCATTATATCCGTATATTGAGTAATCTTCTGTGTAATCTTTGCCCAATTGTAACAACGGTTTTTTCCTTTGTGAACTGTATTTTGTAATTTGCTAGTATACTGTGGATTACTTGTTATAAACACATGTTACAAGTCACATGTTTACTTCTTCCTTGTTATTGGGCGCGTTCTGGGAATATGTACCGGTGCACCGGTGTAGTCCTGGACCTGACTAGGGTTCTGTGTGCATGTCGTGTATAGAGAATTTTGCTTTTGCATTTCAATGTAGGTGTCTTAGGAAGTGTTTTCCACTCGGGTGTCAAGTTCGCACCTGGTTCGTTTTCGAGCTATGACGTCATCAAGATGGCGGCTCGGCAATTTTTGAGTGCGTATATTTCGCAAGCCGTTTAACGGATCGGGATGATTCTTTTTTTTTTGTTTGAAAGATATTTTTACAAACTATCTTTTTTGTATTTACACATTTGTTGTAAACTTAATATTCACCCCACAATATTGAAAAACGTCGTTTTTTTGTTATTATTTTTATTGTTTTGCTTATAACTTCTTAACCGCTGATAAAATCAAATACCACCCGTTGCAAAAGTTGCAGATAATTCTATACCCTTTCCAATGATACCAAACAATATGTGATTAGACCCAAAAATAAAGCAAAGAGATTGAATAAACCGTAAACAAACAATGAAAGTGGTGTACGGTCCGGGAAAGATTTAGTCCTGGACATGACTAGGGTTCTGTGTGCATGTCGTGTATAGAAAATTTTGCTTTTGCATTTCAATATAGGTGTCTTAGGAAGTGTTTTCCACTCGGGTGTCAAGTCCGCACCTGTTACGTTTTCCAGCTATGACGTCATCAAAATGGCGGCTAGGGTAATTTTTAAATGCGTATATTTCGCATACCGTTTAACGGATCGGGGTGATTCTTTTTTTGTTTTAAAGATGATTTTACAGGAAATGTTTCATCGGATTATGATTTACACATCCACCTACTATTTGCTTTATAATATTAAAATCAAACAAACAGACATGCCCTCACGGAATAAATTATTTGAAAATTATTCGTTTATTACGTAATATACCCCCTTATTGAACAAATCATGGTGTAGGTGCATAAATCTTGCACCTGTGGAGGAAAAAGAGGAAATAGCTGTCTGCTAGGTTGTCTCTCAGATTTTTTTGCACCGGTGCACCGGTACATGTTCCCAGAGCGCTCATTGTGTTCAACCAACATTGCGGCTTGGCAACCCAAGAGGCCAATATAAAAAAAATATAATTTTTTACTTTCTCCCCCTAATATCCTTACATATAGCCAGTGCTCGATTTGTATAAAATGAAGTGCTGGAACTGTAACCTATTTCATGCGATTAGTACCTATTAATTTACTTATTTATGCCAATATTTTATATTTCCAAAAGAGAGGCTGAGAGCTGTACACTTTCCTTCCCCTGCAAATCCAGCTCTGCATATAGCTATACTACAGCAGTCTGGGAGCCAAGTTCAGGTTGACAGCTAGTGTCAGTCTGAGATGTGCCATACACTCTGGTATTTTATGCAGCTCATGAGGAGTAGTTGTTAGGAGAAAATTATCAATGCATGGATTATGCGGATTTTTTGTGAATCACTCATCTTGATACTCTATACTGTATGAGCCCACCCAAAGTTGTCTAAAAAAACCTTAGGATTTTTTAAAAGTAGGTAGGCGTAGAATGAAATTATGATACCGGGGACTTATAAGGGGCCAAAGGAAAGGATTATACCTTAAAAATGTTAGAAAAGTATATTTATTTAAAAACACTTCTTCTCTCTTTTTTTGGTAAAGAATAAATAAATGCATGAGAGATACACAAGGAATGAACCAAAAGTACAAAGTACAAAATAACTAACTATAATCTATACATTTCCGAGACAATTAAAAAATATTCATTGCTAGAAACAAAACGGCTGGAAAATTTAAAAATAATTGAATTATTTTTTTTAAGTTTACAAGTACAGTAGAACTCTTATATCCGACCTCAGCATAACCGGCCCCTCAGGATATCTGACCTAGTGTCCAAGGTTGTTACAAAACTCCTGGAAGAAAATCCAAACATTTTTCCCTAGCTTTCCCAGCAGCGAAAACCTGATTTTCTCGGTCACCAAATGAACCTTTTACTAGAGGTCTACACGTCTCTGATATTTTCGGGTCAGGGTCAAGTAAACAGTAGCAAAAATGTCGGACCAAGCTCAGGTAAAGTCGTTCTGAGCGCATATTTTCGCACCAGCGGAAAAAATTTGCATGCATTGATACGCGATAACAAATCGTGGGAGAGGATGATCTCGCCATGACCGTGCAAGGTGTACTTGATTTTGCTGAGGCAGCGAAGATGTTAAGTATTTGGCTGTGACTACTGATCTAAATCCATGGCCATAATTTTCGAATGGCTGGTCAATTGTCGTTCTGCTCACATTTTTGACTTAAGGTTATTTCATAATATTCATTAATTTACGTATATGGTTTTTAATGAAATAAATAAACTGTCTTTATTTTTGCTCCACCCGATATACGACCTTTTAGCCGTTCTGACCAATACCGGGTTCCATCATAGTCAAATATAAGGGGTTCTACTGTAAAAAAATTTTTTCAGTCAATGTCCACTTTAGGTTTACATAAAAAGTACAGTACTTATTTGTTGAGATATGAAAATGTTAACAAATTTAAGGTTTGGCATTTCATTGTAACTTATGGTTCTTGAAGCCACTTTCCAATCAATGCAGATATTTGCTGACGGGCTGCAGTGAGTGCCGGCAAATCATTGTCAGCTACTGGATACATGTTGGCACAATGAGCCGTTCCTGAGAAATAAAGAAATTGTAATTTGTGTATTAGGTCAAATTTGACTTATTCATAACACTGTTCATGAGTTTAGGGAAGGTCACATGATCCAATAAGGTCTTGTTTAGAATAAGGATATGATTATAGCCAATACTTGGTCTTCACAAATCAGAACGACAACAACACGGGTCCCTACTATGTTAGAATAAAAGATAAAAATTGTGTTGGATGTAGAGGTGTGGGAGTACTCGAGTGGTAGAGTATTTTTGATTCAGTACTCAGCTCGACACAAGCTTTTAAAGAAAACTTGAGGAGTCGAGCTTATTAATGATAAAAAAAAAAATTAGAAATATTTATAGGGACAAATATAAATTTGCAAAGTCTGCAGGTTTGCTGTGGCGGTAGTGTTTCATCTTTAGATATGATATTTTAATAAACAATGTTTTAGTTGATTAAAAACGTTTTTCCTTTCTTGTTTCTGTTTGTATAATTATGTGGTTTAATACAAATTTAAAGATGTAGGCATAATGCTAATGAGACAGTCAGCATAAAAGTTGGAGGAATATTGACATATTTGTTGTACTTGACTAATATTCAGCGTCCTGTGTTCTGTTGGGGTACAGAGTCTGTCATGTTCTGTCTGCATGAAACCACTTTCCATCACAGGAGAGTGCCAAAAGGATTAACATATTCTTCTAAAAATAATAATAAAAAGATGTGGTTAAAAAAGAAACTGTGTTTTGATGTAAATTTTGGAAATGAGCAATATTTTTAATGGAAGCGGCACATGCCGGTGGCAGTTTTTTACATTTTCTAAGGAGACAGTCCTTGCCCTGGTTTTGTAGCTTGGTCTTTTCATGGCACCTAGTTATTAGAAAGCATTGATAAACACTAGTCCAAGTTATGTACAATCTTGATTAAAGATAAAAGAGTTCAAGCACTGGATAGCACATCAGTGGGTAGCACATAATGAATGTATTATGTTATATTATTCTTGCAGTGTCTATAAATGTAAACATTATAATTTAAACCTTTAACTCTTTTTGGAAGCTTTATTTTGATGTTTTAAAGCAATCTTGCATTTTAATTCCCAATGATAAAAACAATACTAGACTCGAATATACTTGAAGCTTGCAAGCCTTTTGGAAACTTGACTCGACTCAGTTAAATGGAATAAAACATCAGGAATACTTGATCAAACTCAAACTTGTTAATTAGTACAGCAAGGCACTATAAATCAATACAGTGTTGGTGTTTTTTTTTAATAAATTGAAAAAAGAGTTTAATAAAACTTCAAAAATTTGTCTTATAGCGAGATATTGCTGAATGCAGTTGAACCCTCAAAAATTTGTTTTGCCTCAAATCGAGCCCTGGAATAAGCTACTTCTACTTGCATGTAAAATTAAATTTCAAGTGGCTTCAAGCAGTTAACATAAAATATAAACACACAATACACAATACGCAATAGTAGTTTGGGCTGGTAAACCTTCAGAATAAAGAGCTAATGTAAAGTTTTGAATCAAAGAGGAGGGCCATATTTATACATTTAAGACTGTACTCAAAAAAGGAAGAATTTGTTTATAGTACGAGTGAGATAAAAACAATTATAAATTAATTCTTGGTATTGTGTTAACAAAAACCTACCAATATTTAGCCTATTGATCGAGTATATGTGTTAAAAACAAGGTATGTCACGCAAATTAAACACTTTAAGGTTCACTTGACATTTGGTTCAAATATGGGCTTAACTACTTCCAATAACCGCATTATTAGTTCAACTAAACCATGATAAATTACAATAATAAAAATTAAAAAAATACATAGTTTTTTCTTACAGTATATAAAACCTGGACCTTTCTCTTAATGTTCTGTGTATACAAACCATTGATGTAGATAGCTGGCGATTGAGGAATTCTTGTCTTAGTGATACCGAGTGCATGCCAAGGGTCAATAGAGCCATGCACATAGACGACGCGTGTGGCCTGCAAGTCTAGGCCTCCGTACATGGCATTGCTTCTGTACACTGCTCGGTCTAGCAGATCCTTTGTGAAACTGTTACACATACACATAATGGTGCTTTGTTTCAAAGCTTATATGTGAGGATTGACCAATTTAATCTAGTATTCAGTCCAGCAACTTCACTATCAACCTCAATTGTAATTATTAAACTTAAATACAAATAGCACTTTTTATTTGTAGTTTTGAATCACAATACAACCAAATAAGTTTACTACAGGAGACTCCCTCTTATCCGGACTCCTCGGGATCGAGGCCAGTCCGGATAACGGTTTTTCCGGTTAAACCGACGTCCCCCAAAACTTGTTAAAATGGACCATTTTAATGCATACTGTATACAGTATTTGACTTAAATTTAGGAGAGCATTGTATTTAGACACGTGATCACTGGTCTCAAATCTTTCCCACGAGAACAGTCGTTTCGGTACTGCCCACTTCCTGCCGATCTAGTCCGGTTAAACCGATGGGCTGATAAAAATTGTCCGATTAAAGAGATGTCATTTCCGCCGAGTGTAGTCCGGTTAAACCGATGTCCGAATAGGAGGGAGTCTACTGTAGGACTTTGGATTTTACATGAGTTTATAACTAACCTGTTAAGGATGATTTTATAATGAAGATATTGTGATATAGTTTAGTCTTAACTCCTCTAATTGCTGCTATCAGTCAGTTTTTTAACTAATAACTTCTATCAGTTACTTTTTCTTTACCAACTAACTAATAACTTATATCAGTTACTATTTACGGGACTAACTAACTTCTAAATCCTTACAATATTTGACTAACTTCCCCAACTATGCCTCTTGATACCGATACTAATGTATGTAATAGTCAGTAATTAAGTACCAAGAACCGTCTCATCCCCATCAGCTAATTTATCAGCTATTAAGGTTTTTGATTCATGATCAGAGACTCCTCAAATGAAAAAATAACAACCTTACCTTTTGCCAAAAATGTCTGCACATTGTTGGATGAAAAAATCCACAGGAAAATCTTCACCAAACAGAGCAGTTTTACTCTCAGAAGACTGGAAATAGCCAAATTCTGTGCAGGTCTGGTATGTCCACTGGCGAGCTATGGGTAATAAATAAATAAACTTAGTGATGCTGCCATTTCCAAAGCGATGGTTCTTATTCAATCAGGATCATGGGAATGTGTTTTTCAAATAAATATTTTTAAATTAGGTATGATTTGCCACGGGCTTGCAATTGAGAATTTCGAAACTAACCCCAAAGAATGCTAACCCCCCCCAACAGTGAAAATTATCAACAGTTCCGTACCTATCTTTCAGTAAAACTGTAATCCTGGAGTTTTACCACCCTACATGATATTAAAAGCTAAATATTAAGGGGTTCCAGACTTTTTGAATAACCTTATATTATTATCTAAAAACATAAATTTGACAGGAAGGGAAATTGAATTTTTTTTACGGTTTGAGATATATTTTGGTGTACTGTTTCATACTAGCCTAGTCACACTTGAGTTTCAATGTTCCATGTACATCAAAAATTAACTATGTGTAGACTTTACAAACAACAGAACTTAAAAGTAAACAAACATTATAAACTTTAATACGTCACAAGACCCAGTGGCGTAACAGAAGGGTCCGCAGGGCCCGCAATGTGGGGGGGGGGGGAGGGGGGCCAGGAGCCAAGGGCCGCAAACCTTAAGGGGGGGTAGTAGAGAGGCCCGTGAGAAGAGTAGAGTTGAAAAATTGAAGTTCTTTCTTATTGAAATGTATTATAAATTATTCAATAATTGTATTGAACAAGTACAGTAATAACATTAATGTTATTGACAATATGGTGTTATAGTTTAATTTTGTTAGGCCAATTCTTGAGGGATAACGCACTAAGGTAACAAAGTTAACGTTTTGGTGTGGGTCATTGATCATACTTTCGTCACAGAGAAGTATTTTACTTCTCTGTACTTCCTTACACTGCTTATGTCTGCAAACATTGTGTAACATTAGGTTGCCTGGAGCCTGAAGTCATGAACGTTGACTGGGGCCTTTAAATTGTATTATTTTACATTTTAGTTTTGCCCTAATATTAATTGTATTTAGTTGAATACAATATATTGCTACTCTGCTGACTTTGTTTGTTAGCCTATATCATATTTGAACTCACAATTAATCAATACTAAAGAAATATGTTTGTAAGGTTAACGCTTGAAATCCATACAAAGATAAAATTAAGAAAAGGCAATTTAGGCAATTTTAGCCTGTGATAAAAGTACCTATGTCAATCTTTTAAACTAACCACCTTTTAGTATATGAGTTAATTATAACCATCGATAAAAACTAACCGAATAAATGATTGCTAACATGTCTAATAAAATAAAACATATAGCCTCCTTGATATGAAACATTCTTATACGTATAAAAAAATAAAATATATTGATATCATGATGTAGTGATGTAACTTTATAATCAAACTGTGACTGAAATACTTAACACGCCCTTTTATGGGACATTACCCATAATTTATTTAGGTATTACTCTATTTTATGATGAATGGGGGGGGGGGGGGGGGGGTAATTTTGTCGTATCGGTTGTCTAACAATATCTCATTAAAGGGGGCCCGAAAAAATCTGTTACGGCACTGACAAGACCCTTTCTGCTGATTAAATATCTCAGATTCAGCAGAGCTGTTTATTGGTATTAGTATTTTACGTGACTTGTCTGGTAAACACATTTTGGACGAGTGACATAAGATATTTTTTGCCATACTAGTCTAAACCAACCTAACAATAAAAAAAAGTACATATCTGTTATATATTCCCATTGAATGATAACATACTAAATCATGACTTCTAAGAGAGGATATGTTTTTGTTTATTGATTCGTTGATTTATTGCCAATTAATTATAATCAGCCGGTGTCTGGCAAAAATTCATTACAGTACAGTAGCACGTAATGAAACCCAATTTGATTAAGCAGGCAGCAAACGGCTGATTTTCAGACTAATTTCATGCAGGGGAAGTCTATTGAAACAGAGTAGTGTTGCAAAAATATATGACACACCACTACCATACAACTAAAATTTTAACTAGTTTAAGTAATAAAATCTAGTTAAGTTTAAGACATTTGAAGATGAGGGTCGTAGTTCACTCTTTTGTAACCAAGCCCATGTACTTAAAATATTATTCCACCATTTCGCTTAATACTGGAAGAAACTTTTGTGTGCCTTGGACAATACTTTCTTATAAGGGAACAGCTTTTTCTTAACATTTGCCGTTTGTTTATGTAAAATGGTGTTTTTTGGGAGTCTGGAATTAGTTTATGGAATTTTTCGTAAATCTAGTAAAAGGTAAATATAAATGGTATTGTTTTGCCAATAGGGAATTTAGATTGCACTTACCGCCTTTAGTAGCACCCCAAGTAGTATTTTTTATTTCCTTTAAATAGTTTTCATATGTATAATCCAAGCATGATTCATAGTTTGTTTCGAGAAGTAAACTGTTTACAGCCGCATATCTAAAACATAACCATAGGAGAGGTTTTAAAAATGGCAGCGTAACGATATCGGGCGCATGCCAGCTCGAGGATTAACCGTCACCCTTGGGATTGTGAGCATAACAGCAGAGCGAATAGACCGATAACAGAAATACTTTTATAAACCTTTACAGTAAGTTGATTTAAAAGGTTATGGAAGAAAAATATTTGTAATTAAATTACTTACATACAATAGTAATACGGAACTGTTATTTTGTGTGTTGTAGGCTACATGTTCAATGTTCAGACAGTGAAATAAAATCACATTTAAAAATAGTCTAAGTACTATATAGGGGTGACGGATAAGAGAGATTGACGGTTTAAAGGGTGTCGTTTAATCTAGGTTCTACTGTAACAAGACTTTATTCATAGTTGTAGACAATAGACAGTTTCCTTTATTTGTAATTTCGTTAAGAAATGCAATGGTGTCACAAAAATCCAGAATGTTTAACATTAGATTGTTTGACAGTTTACATTTTCTTTCTATAGATAGTTCATAATTGGTCAAAAAATTCCTTAAGGGAGTACACCGGCCGGTCCTGTAATATATATAGAATTATTAATACTTCAAGAAGCAGCCAGGGGAATATTTTAGTTTGTTGTGGTGGCTGCACTGTATTTGGAGATGACATCGCGTCCCCACTACCGATATTCGTCCTCAGTCCCGCGTCATATGTTAACAAGGTTAGTCACTTGAATATTATAGTGCCGCGTTGTTTGAGCGTTCTTATTCTATTAGTACTAATCAGTATTAGTTACTAAATTGGCGCAGTCGCCGGTATGTAAATTGGTAAAAATGGCTAGTGGGTCTATAGGGCGGATGAGTGATTTTAATCCCGGGGAAGAGGACATAAAATCTTACCTTTTACGACTCAAGCATTTCTTTAAAGCCAACGAAGTGAAAGACGAGAAGAAGGTTTCAATTCTCATTACAGTGATCGGACCTAAAATTTTAGCAGTGTTATCGGACTTGCTTTCTCCCAAAACAGTTGATGAAAAATCGTTTGACGAACTAACTAAAGTTCTAGAAGACCATTTTTCGCCTAAAAGACTTGTCGTGGCAGAGCGTTACACGTTTTAGAGCCGTTGCCAGAAACCAACCGAGTCCATATCTGATTTTGCTGTGGCAATTAAACACCTTGCGAGTACATGCAAATTCAACTTGTTTTTATCCGATGCATTAAGGGATAAACTAATTTCGGGCTTAAATAATGACGTAATTCGTCAGAAATTACTGTCTGAAGAACTAGATTTCAACAAGACTTTTGCCTTGGCACTCCTGTTGGAACAAGCTGAGAAACAGACCGGTCTTTTCACAAACCAAACTGTCCACGAGGTTTCTAAATTCAGTGTTCAGAAAAATTCTCTAACAGGCGGTAGAAACTTTAATAGCAGTGTAAACTTGAAGAATAAATTGGCTGGAAATAAAGGTGAAATGTCAAATAGGCCTAGCCTAAATCAGTGTTACCGCTGTACACGTGCCGATCATAGGGCTAGTGTTTGTCCTTACAGTAACTACAAGTACCACATTTGTAAGAAAATAGGTCATTTGAGCAAGGCCTGTAATTCCAAGGATGGTTCTACTAAATTTCGTCCAAAAGGGAAATTCAAAGTTCATCAAGTGGAAAGTGAGGAGTCTAGGCCTAGGCCTAGCCTGGTCAATCAAATGGAGGAAGTATCCTTGTATAATGTTGGAGTGTGTAATAAAAATCCTGGCTACCAGGTAAGACTAGATATAGAAAATGTATCTGTTAATATGGAAGTAGATACTGGTTCAGCTCTGACCATTTGTCCCCAGGAGTTGTATGATCAACATTTTGCACATTTGAGTTTGAGTCCAGTGGACATAAAATTGCTTACTTACTCTGGTAATGAAGTGAAGGCTATGGGGGAAACGCAAGTAAATGTATGTAATGGTCAGTCATATTATTTACCACTCTTGATAGTGAAAATTAATCGACAAAACCAACCGATGCTACTAGGTCGTAACTGGCTTAAGTATGTTCAATTAGATTGGAAATCAATATTTTCATGCAATTACTCTGATCTACCCGTAGATAAACTTAGTGGTCAGATGGTCACAGGTAATGCCACTGAATAGTTACATGCCATGTAATGCTGAACTCCATACTCCAGCAGCACTCCACCATCACGTGAACCTTTATCACCTTTTAAAGGATTCAATACACCAACAACTGAGAAACTGGACTACATAACTAGTAATTTAAGCATGTATGATACTAATAGACCTAGCTCTTTTATAAATATTTCACCTTTTTTAGGGAACATGACCCAATTTCCACTCTTAGGAACAAAGTAAGGCATACAAGTAATAATAGTAATAACTTTTGGTTTTTACATCTGAACATTCAAGGTTTTTGTAATCATTCTACAGATCTGTGTTTTTTACTGGAGAATAGTAGCAACAACATAAAAGTAATATCTCTGAATGAACATTGGTTAAACAAATCTAATATTAATGTATTAAATAAGTTAAATGGTTTTAAAGTAGCTGACTATTTTTGTAGAGACAGAAAACTTAGAGGAGGCTCAGCTCTTTTGTTATCTCAAGAAATTGAATTTAAAAAAAGAGATGATCTCAAGTTTTTAAATGAAGAAATAGTTATTTGTGCAACTAGTGAGAAAAGTGAGCAATTGACTCACTCGAGAGAAATCCTTACTCACGAGCCGTAGGCGAGTGAGGAATGGTTTCTCGAGTGAGGCAATTGTACTTTGAACTCGAGTTGCACATTATACTTTTCCTACAGTTACCATAAAACAAATAAATTGGTGAAGAAACATAACCTATTTTTACACAGAAGTGAACTTTTAATATAACATTTAATGTGAAGTGACAAATACAACAGTACAACAGCTGACCAGCTGATTTACAGCCAGTGCTGCCAACGTATTTCGCGCGCATAGGACGTTGCCTGCATGTTACGCGCTCACTATTTCGTGCCTTCACGTTGCAAATCTGGAGTGAGACAAAGTAATTAGAGTGAGACAATGTTAACATTGTCTCACTGATGAGCGAATTGGCCACTTTGCTTTCTCAAATCAGTGAGAGAACATGTACATTGTTAGGTAACTGTAGGAAAATAATTTTGAATGTAGTTTTGTAGAAGTTTGTGAATGGAATACATTATTTATTTCAATCTATCGTATACCAAATCTGGACATTGATGACATATTTTTTGAGAAATTTGACTGTCTTTTGTCTAAACTTTGGCATGAGTCTAAGTCAAAAAACATTTTAATAGCTTCAGACCATAATATCGATCTTCTAAAAAACAATAACCGATCAAGAAGTTTACAATACCTTTGTTATCAGTTTGGGTTAAAATATCACTTTTTTCAACCAACAAGAATAACTCCAACCTCCAAAACTTGCATTGATAACATATTTTCTAACATGAAATTGATTTCAGATAAAGCTGAAACCCAAATTATCAATGCAGGTGCATCTGATCATGAAGCAATACTATTATCACTAGCTGACTTGAAACCACCCCCCTCAGCTTTAAAAAGATCAAATGTTTCTTTTAAAAGGTCATTTAATTCAGAAAATTTAAATTATTTCAAAAATAGTCTTATTGAATCAGATTGGAAATTTAATCCTTTTGAAACTGTAAATACAAATTATAATAGCTTTTTAGATTGCATCCTGAAAAATTTTAATCAAGCTTTCCCTCTTAAACAATCAAAATGTAATTCTATTAAACATGCATCCAAAAACTGGATTACACTTGGTATAAAAATATCCGCTGAAAGAAAACGGCTTCTCCATATCGAGTCAAGATGGAATAAGTCTAAGGACTTCCAAGATTATGTAAAAACATACAGGCAAATATTCAAAAAAACAATTGAACTCTCTAAAAAGAAATACAATGATCATTACATTAAAAATTCTCTTAATAAGACCACAGCAACATGGGAGATTGTTAAAAGGGAACTTGGACAACAAAAGGAAAAATCTGAATTACCTTATCATGTTCAAAACGATTCCTTATAATTTCAACAACCATTTTCTATCTGCACATACATCAGTAGGGTGTAGTCCTAAAGCCAAAGAGGCTCTGAATTTTATAGATTCAAAGTACTACAAAAATACATTTAAATTCAAACTAATTACCGAATCAGAAGTAAGGAAAATTGTATTTTCCTTAAATAACACAAGATCTGTCGGTTGGGATCAGATTCCATTGTTCTTACTTAAGCATGTAATAGATGAAATACAAACTCCTCTCTGTAATCTCATAAACCAGTCCTTAATGCACGGTATTTTCCCAAACAAACTAAAATACTCCGAAATTTTACCACTCCATAAGAAAAATGATAAAAACACTTTAGAAAATTACCGCCCAATAGCTATGCTCTCAAGTATATCTAAAATATTCGAAAAATGTGTTGACCTACAATTGAGAACTTTTTTAGAAGATAATAATATTTTTAATGATTCCCAATTTGGATTTAGAAAAGGATTAAGTGCTCAACAATCAATGACTAAATTAGTAAACTGTGTTGCGAGTTCCTTGGATGGATCTCAGAAGACAACTGGAGTTCTGTGTGATTTAACCAGAGCTTTTGAATGTGTTCATCACAGTTTGTTAATAGACAAACTTGAAAAATATGGAATAAAAAACAAGGAACTAAATTGGTTTTCTACATACTTGAGGGATAGATATCAAAGGACTAAAATTATCAAATTTGGACATACTATAAATTCTAATTGGGAAAAAGTTGAAGTAGGGGTGCCTCAGGGATCAATATTGGGCCCCTGTCTATTTCTTATTTATGTAAATGACCTACCAAATGTGTTAAAGATGGATGTATTTCAATTTGCTGATGACACAATGCTGTTATGTAAGGGACCCAATGTTGAATCCCTTCAGCACACAGTAGATACAGAATTGGCCGCTTTAAGTGACTGGTTTAGATTAAATGGGCTCTCCTTGAACATGGACAAGACTCAAGTAGTT